GGAGCGCAGTGATGTCTAAGCCGGTGGTGTGTTCTAGATGCTGTGTCCACCCACCCCAGCTTCCCTGTTTCCCTACACATCTCGGAGACAAACCTAAGGCACATTTTCAAGGCCTCATGTAAATGAATATGCCAAAAATACCTGTAAACTCAGTTTACCATTTTGAAGTTCTATTATGACTGTGATGCTCATTAAAAATACAGATGTTATATAAATTGCGTTTAAACTGGCTTATATCCATGGCCGCTTTCTCTTTATTCAAGGTCAGGGAAACATATGCCCTCTGAAAGCCTCAGTTTCCCTCCACAATCTCAGACAACTTCTCCAGGAATCACCTCCTTCCTTCCTTCCCTCCTTCCTTCCCTGCCTCCCTCCCTTCCTTCCTTTTTTCCTTCCTTCCTGTGGCCCAGCAGGGTCCTGTCATCACTCTGCTTTGTCTTTTAAACTGGCATTTGCTTTATGCCTCCGTTAGATTAATGGTCCTGTCTTTTGTACCCTGACATTAGCCTTTAATTTCCACTTGGTATTATCAGATGGAGAAGTAGTCTACTGTTTTTAGTTCAAAATGTTTCTCACTTTTCTGAAGAGACTTCTATAAGACATATTATTATTAAATGGTTAATATTATCCCAAAGACTTTAGCAGGATGCAATTCTAGTTAAATTTAAGTTGGCTATCATACAAATACCTCTATGGGTTAATGATTCTGTAATATATCCAGGCATTCAAGATGTACTTAAAATCAGTTGCAGTTTTTAATATCACAGGGTTGACATTATTTTCATTCACCTTGAGTTTCTGAGGGAAGAAAAAAGTCATACAAGGACCATCTATAAGCAGAATTATTTCCTTTTCTGTTATCTCACAAACGTAGAACCGGCATGAATTTGAACTGAAACTTGAGAAGTTAAGAAGTATTTTGTCTTTCTCTCACTTTTCTCTGATTATGCCCCACTTTTTGACAGTTCATATTTCTGATCAGCCTGGTGTGTGTAAATGACACTCCAGTTGTGGTCTGATAGTGGATTAAGGTGTTAGCCCTCCTAGAGTTATTTGTACTTTAAAAATAAATGCAAAGACCCACATAACTTCAAGAAATCAAGTTCTAAACCCATCTCATTGGGATGTGATTCCCTGCCCTTCCATGCCTCTCCTGCATAGTGGTCCCTCCCCCTTGGGGAGCAGAGCTTTAATTGAGGTGGTATGCTTGCGGAATGTTCTCTGAGACCCGGGTGCGCTTTCCACTGATGGATGCTTCCTCTGCAGGCCTGAGCACAAGGTTAGAGTCGGGTGACTGCAGTTCATAACCCACAGCACGCAATTACCTGACAGTGTTCTATCAGAATAGAAGATAGTCAAGAGACATTTATGCCACCCTTAAGTATATTAAGTTGTTAAAGCATATAAAAATAATACTTCAGCTAATATTGCTTGCAGGGTCAGGATGCAAATATATAGAGACAGTTCATATTTTATACTTATTTAATGTGCAATGATAGGCTGGTTTCTCCATAATTGAATAACTGAGTCTTCTGATATGCTTTGGGTCATAAGCTTGAATGGCCTTGTTCAGATTACTTTAACATATACCTGCTCATGCCCCCCTTTTTTTCTTTTTGCACAGATATGGGTGGTTTAACAGACTAGATAAATGTCAGGGAAGTCCTTTGGTTATGAACGATGAGTCACAAAATGGTTATGGACATTGGAGGTCATTTATTGTGGTTCTAGGGCATTTGAAACTGATCATTTACATAATACAGTTGTGAATCTTTCTGATTTTTACATATGAGGAATTAAATGGGTAGAAGACCGTCAAAGTACTGTTTCTCTTTCACGCTTGGCTACGTGAAGGAATCCTACATAAAATAAATTCAAATTTTATGGCTTAAGTTTTGGGGATAGTTAGTATGATATAGTGATGCTTACTCTCCATGATTACAAAGACAGGCAGAGATATACAACCAAATATCAAACCTCTATTTTATATCAAATTATCCACATTAAAATTATCCACATTTCAAGCAAAACCAGTGTGCCAACCACTGTACATCCTTTATCTCATTTAATTCATTTAAAGCACACCGTGAACAAGACAGTCACATCCCCATTTACTGAGGCTCTTAAAGGCTAATCTGCCTGCTTTTAAGCTGAAAGTGAAAGTCACTCAGTCGTGTCTGACTCTTTGCGAACCCATACAGTCCATGGAATTCTCCAGGTCAGAATACTGGAGTGGGTAGCCCTTCCCTTCTGCAGGGGATCTTCCTAACCCAGGGATCGATCCCAGGTCTTCTGCATTGCAGGCGGATTCTTCACCAGCTGAACCAGTCACCTGAGTATTTCCTAAATCCAAAGCCCACACATCTCCCTCAGTGCCACGCTGCTGCCCTCACTGTGGAAGCACCATGAGTCCTTTAATTACACTCATCCCCAGGCTGCTTTCTAGCTAGTTCCCGGCTCTTCACTACATGCTTCACTGGGCAGGGCAAGCTTGGCTTGAAGTGGTGTTCCTTGAGAGCAGTTGGCTTCTGTTAGCTAGGTTTCCAAGGGCTGTTGACTTTGACCAATCTTTGCTGCTTGTAACAAATAAACATGGCCTGAGATAAAACCTTGCAGGAAGAAATAAACCATTTATATACAGATTGTTAAGAAGCATGTACTAGCTATTCATTAATACCATGCAAACTGTGTTTTTATAGCAAAAGTACAACCAAAATTTCATAGACATCCACCCCCAAAGCTCTTCTGAGACTAACACATTTAAAGCAAAGGATTTAATGAGTGAGTGAGGTGTTGATACATTTTAAAAACTAATTTTGTAACTTAGTGAGTAACTAAGTTATGTAAGTTACACATAGATTAAGTATAGTATTTTAGTCCCTCATACTATATTGGAAAAAAAAATTCTCCAGATGACATTTTGTTTTGAGCTTCTTAGATGTAGACAACTTAAGAGGTAGAGTTGAATTTTGCTTGAAAGAATTTAAACCCCTGAATATCACCTGAATATCATCATTCATCAGGTGAATATCATCACCTGGTGATATTTTAGAAAATAGTTATTTTTATGATTTTTTTAAGAATGTGCTTAGTCTAAAAACCTTAGATATGATTATGATTGCATGTATGTATGTTATCAGAAGGACTTCACAGGTGGCACTACTGATAAAGAGCCTGCCTGCCAAATAGAGGCGACATAAGAGACATGGGCTTGATCCCTGGGTTAAGAAGATCCCCTGGAGTGGGGCATGGCAACCCACTTCTCTATTCTTGCCTGGAGAATCCCATGGACAGAGGAGCCTAGTGAGCTACAGTCCACAGGGTCTTAAGACTGAAGCGACTTAGCACGCAGCACATGTTCTCAGAAACCAAGCTTTGGTCGTATAACAACAAATACAAGAAAGATGAAAATTGTTTTGCTGAGTGCCTCTTAAGGCAATAAACTGGTTTAATGTATATTCAACACTGATAGAATGCTTTTTGAAAAAAAATTAATACATTCATAAGTCTGTGTTTTCAGAAGAAATTCAGAATGGGAGCATCTCACATACCTAAATTCTGTAATCACTCTAAACTGAATGGAGTGAAATGTAGCAGAAAGTTTTGTTATCTGGACAGACCTTTGGCATTTTCTCTTGTAAAAACCCTTTATTCTAACTTTTATATTCTTGGGAAGAACATTTTCACATTGATTTATCTATCAGTTGTTTAGACAGCTTCCAAATAAGTTTTACATTCCAAATAAACAAAGTTACCTGTTGCCTTGATCTTACTTCTTCTAATCTTCATGTTATCAATGCCCCGCCTTGTCTTCTACATAACACAGTATAATCCATCACTCACCTTTTAAGATGGGCTTCTTAATGACCTTGGAGTGACTCTTTCTCTTAAACTAGTTTTGTTCTTTTTGCAAGTTACTGTCCAACACTTTTAGCCTGAAAATATGAGGATAGCCTTATTTAATTTGGTTTATGTTAAAAGCAGACCAAATAAATTTTTTCTGTAACTTATCAAATGCACAGAGAATACTGCGTAAGTATTTTAAGTTTGAATGGATGAGGCCGTGCATTTTAAAAAACACTATTTTGAAAGTTTCACTTTATTTGAAAGTTACAGTGATGTAATTTAAATCATTAGATTCCTGCAGAGATCATGCATTAGATTTTGTATTACTTTACAGATGCAACTATTATGAAAATAGATTTTACAGCTGTAAATTTTAGAGTTTACTAAAGACCAATAAATTCACAGCAATAGCAAGACAATTATGAAAATAACATAATTTCACATCTGTTGCACATATATGCACATATTATCATATAATGCATATATATATGCATATGATTATATTAAATGCCATTTATGTCCCATGTGTTTGATTATATGTAAATTTTTTGAGGTCTTCCTAATAGAGGCAGAAAGGTGTTGTTTTGCACTGAGTGCAATTTATATAGAGTTATGATATATATATATGATATATATCATATCGGATTTGACTTAACATATCATACCTCCTATTATAATGCTCAAATCTTGGAATGTTTTAACAGATTTTGCTTTGGTAATAGATGGAAATGATTGTTTTTAAACAAGACAGAGCTCTTAGTTCATTGCTAGATATGGGACAATGTGAATGGGGAATGAAGAAGAAGAAATGATGCCAGTGGATTCTGAAAAAAGAGGTAGAATATCTCAAAATGTAGCATTTAATATAATTTTATGAAAATTGTCATAGAGCTCAGCTTTCTGTCTGAACAAACTTTCAATTTAGGTCTCAAAGAAATTCTTCTCGCTGAAATGTTTAAGGTGCTTTTGACTTCACTGCAACACACCAAATGCTGATGGGAGAGGTAATGTAGCATGTTTTTGCAGAATAGGCACTTGAAATGGCAAGAAAGATACCTGCAGCAATTTCCAAGTTGAGTATTGAAGCAGTCAGCACTCTACAGAATGTGATTAATGGACAGTTCCACTTTAGAATGCCTGATTTAAATTAAACTTTAATGTTCACATTTGCACAAAGATTTTTCTATACCAAGAGTGATCACAGCTAGGTTTAAAAATATATGGCTGTGTATATAAGCTGAGCGCTGAAAAATTGATGCTTTTGAACTGTGGTGTTGGAGAAGACTCTTGAGAGTCCCTTGGACTGCAAGGAAATCCAACCAATCCATCCTAAAGGAGATCAGTCCTGGATGTTCATTGGAAGGACTGATGCTGAAGCTGAAACTCCAGTACTTTGGCCACATCATGTGAAGAGTTGACTCATTGGAAAATACCCTGATTCGGGGAGGGATTGGGACAGGAGAAGAAGGGGACAACAGCGGATGAGATGGCTGGATGGCATCACCAACTCGATGGACGTGAGTTTGAGTAAACTCCGGGAGTTGGTGATTGACAGGGAGGCCTGGCATGCTGCAATTCATGGGGTTGCAAAGAGTCAGACACGACTGAGCGACTGAACTGAACTGACTGATATACAGGTATTATATACACATGAGCGCGCGCGCACACACACACACACACACACACACACACACACACACACACACACTTCTACAGTTTTCCCACTCCTATCCCCAAGTAGAGCATTCTCAAACCCAGCTCTTCCACTTAACTAGCTGTGAGCAAATACTCACTTTACTGAGTTTCTTTCTTTCACAATGTAACAATAAAGAGCAGTCTACCTCACTGTATTATTCTGAGCATGGCACCAATAATTAGCCCTCACAAATATTAAGCACTGTTAATACAACTACCATATGATCCAGCAATCCTGATTCTGGGTGTAAACAGGAAGGAAATGGAATTAGACTCTCAGATATTTCTGTACCCCCATGTTTATCACAGCATTAGTCACTGTAGCCAAGATATGAAAACAAACTTAGTGTCAGTCAAACACACACACACACTAGTATATTATTCAGCCATAAAACACAGGGAAATCTTGCCATTTGCAACAGCATGGAGGAAATGTGAGGGCATTATGCTTAATGAGATAAGCTGGACAAAGACAAATATTGTAATATATTATATGTGGAATCTAAAAAAGCCAAACTTGTAGAAACAGAGAGAAGAATGGTAGTTAACAGGTGTCAGGGGTAGGGGAATCAGGGAGATGCTGCCAAAGTGTATAAACTTGCAGAGAGAAGATGGAGAAGTTCTAGAGGTCTAATGCACAAAGTAGTGATTAGAGTCAACAATACTATATAGTAAACTTCAAAATTGCTGTGACGCCAGATCTTAAATGTTTTCACAACAAAAAAGAAATGATAATTATGTGACGTGATAGAGATTTAACTAAAGGTACAGCAGTAATCAATCTGATTTCAGTATTCACCATCTGGTGATGTCCATGTGTAGAGTCTTCTCTTGTGTTGTTGTAAGAGGGTGTTTGCTCTGACCAGTGCATTCTCTTGGCAAAACTCTGTTAGCCTTTGTTCTGCTTCATGTTGTACTCCAAGGCCACATTTGCCTGTTACTCAGGGTATCTCTTGACTTCCTACTTTTGCATTCTAGTCCCCTATAATAAAATGGACATCTTTTTGGTTGTTAGTTCTAGAAGGTCTTCTAGGTCTTCACAGAACCATTCAACTTCAGCTTCTTTGGCGTTAATGGTTGTGGCATAGACTTGGATTACCGTGATATTGAATGGTTTGCCTTGGAAGCGAACAGAGATCTTTCTGCCATTTGAAATCGCATCCAAGTACTGTGTTTTGGACTCTTTTGTTGACTATGATGGCTATTCCATTTCTTCTAAGGGATTATTTCCCACAGTAGTAGATATAATGGTCATCTGAGTTAAATTCACCCATTCCAGTCCATTTTAGTTCACTGACTCCTAAAATGTCGACGTTCACTTTTGGCATCTCCTGTTTGCCCACATCCAATTTGCCTTGATTCATGGACCTAACATTCCAGATTCCTAGGCAATATTGCTCTTTACAGCATCAAACTTTACTTCCATCACCAGTCACATCTACAGATAGGTGTTGTTTTCACTTTGGCTCCATCTCTTCATTATTTCTGATGTTATTTCTCACTCTTCTCCAGTAGCATATTGGGCACCTACTGACCTGGGGAGTTCATCTTTCAGTGCCCTATCTTTTTGCCTTTTCATACTGTTCATGGGGTTCTCAAGGGAAGAATACTAAGCGGTTTGCCATTGCTTTCACCAGTGATGAAGACCCAAGATGGGAGCTGACTGTGGCTCAGATAATGAACTCCTTATTGCCAAATCCAGACTTCAGTTGAAGAAAGTAGTGAAAACTGCTAGACCATTCAGGTATGACCTGGTATGATTCTACAATGGAAGTGATACATAGATTCAAGGGATTAGGTCTCTTAGACAGAGTGCCTGAAGAACTATGGATGGAAGTTCGTGACGTTGTACAAGAAACAGTGATCAAGACCACCCCCCCAAAAAAAATGCAAAAAGACAAAGTGGTTGTCTAAGGAGGCCTTACAAATAGCTGAGAAAAGAAGAGAAGCTAAAGACAAAGGAGAAAATGAAAGATATACCCATTTGAATGCAGAGTTCCAAAGAACAGCAAGGATAAAAAAGCCTACCTCAGTGATCAATGCAAAGAAATAGAGGAAAACAATAGAATGGGAAAGACTAGAAACCTCATCATGAAAATTAGAGCTACCAAGAGAACATTTCATGCAAAGATGGGCACAATAAAGGACAGAAACAGTATGGACCTAACAGAAGCAGAAGATGTTAAGAAGAGGTGGCAAGAATACACAGAAGAACTGTACAAAAAAGATCTTCACAACCCAGATAATCAAGATGATGTGATCACTCACCTAGAGCCATACATCCTGGAATGCGAAGTCAAGTGGGCCTTAGGAAACATCACTATGAACAAAGCTAGTGGAGGTGATGAAATCCCAGTTGAGCTATTTCAAATCATAAAAGATAATACTCTGAAAATGCTGCACTCAATATGCCAGCAAATTTGGAAAACTCAGCAGTGTCCACAGGACTGGAAAAGGTCAGTTTTCATCCCACTCCCAAAGGAAGGTAATGTCAAAGAATGCTCAAACTACCACACAATTACACTCATCTCACATGGTAGCAAAGTAATGCTCAAAATTCTCCAAGCCAGGTTTCAATGGTACGTGAATCAACAATTTCCAGATATTCATGCTCGATTTAGAAAAGGCACAGGAACCAGAGATCAAATTGCCAGCATTCGTTGGATCATTGAAAAAGTGAGAGAGTTCCAGAAAAACAGCTACTTCTTCTTTATTGACTATGCCAAAGCCTTTGATTATGTGGATCACAACAAACAGTGAAAAATTCTATAAGAGGGGGAAATACCAGACCACATCACCTGCCTCCTGAGAAATCTGTATGCATGTCAAGAAGCAACAGTTGGAACTGGACATGGAACAACAGACTGGTTCCCAGACAGGAAAAGGAGTACGTCAAGGTTGTATATTGTCACCCTGCTTATTTAACTTATATGCAGGGTATATCATGTGAAATGCCAGGCTGGATGAAGCACAAGCTGAATCAAGATTGCCAGGAGATATATCAATAACCTCAGATATGCAGATGACACTACCCTTATGGCAGAAAGCGAGGAAGAACTAAAGAGCCTCTTGCTGAAGGTGAAAGAGGAGAGTGAAAAAGTTGTCTTGAAACTCAACATTCAGAAAACTAAGATTATGTCATCCAGTCCCATTACTTCATGGCAAATATATGGGGAAACAATGGAAACAGAGATAGACTTTATTTTTTGGGCTCCAAAACCACTGCAGATGGTGACTGCAGCCATGAAATTAAAAGATGCTTGCTCCTTGGAAGAAAAGCTATGACAAACCTAGACAGCATATTAAAAAGCAGAGACATTACTTTGCCAACAAAGGTCCGTCTAGTCAAGGCTATGGTTTTTCCAGTGGTCATGTATGGATGTGAGAGTTGGACTATAAAGAAAGCTGAACACCAAAGAATTGATGCTTTTGAGCTGTGGTGTTGGAAAAGACTCTTGAGAGTCCCTTGGACTGCAAGGAGATCCAACCAGTCCATCCTAAAGGAAATAAGTCCTGAATATTCATTGGAAGGACTCATGCTGAAGCTGAAACTCCAATACTTTGGCCACCTAATGTGAAGAACTGACTCCTTGGAAAAGACCCTCATGCTGGGAAAGACTGAAGGCAGGAGGAGCAGGGGATGACAGAGGATGAGATGGTTGGATCACATCACGGACTCAATGGACATGAGTTTCAGCATCTCCAGGAGTTGGTGATGGACAGAGAAGGCTGGCATGCTGTGGTCCTTGGGGTCACAAAGAGTCGGACACGACTGAGTGACTGAACTGAACTGACAGCAGTAATCACCTTACAAGATATAAATGTATCAAACCAATATAACATATACTTTATACTTACATAATTGTTATATGCCAGTTATACCTTATTTTAAAAATGATTTTACAGATCATTTTTATTCTTAGTAGAGCTCAATTATTTCTATATATAATAACATTTTCAGTATTTGGTGGCTAAGGGATTTTTTAAATTTATTTTTAATTGGAGGATAATTACAATGTTGTATTTGTTTCTTCTCTGCAACAACATGAATCAGCCATAAGTATACACGTATCTCCTCCGTCTTGAACCTCCTTCCCACCCCTCCAGCCATCCACCCATCTTGGTCATCACAGAGCACTGGGTTGAGTTCCCTGTGTTATATGGCAGTTTTCCATTAGCTATCTATTTTACATATGGTAAATGTGTGCGTTTCAATCTAGTCTGACTAAGGGATTTATTAAAATTAATATGTTAAGTAAAAATGTATATAACTTTAGTTGCATCTTCTGACACATAACCTGACATTAGTAGATCCACTTAATAAACAGTTATAGAAACAGTGAATGCAGTATATCAATTGTTATTATGTATTTCATTACAGAACAATAAAACACAATTACACAGTCTTCATAGATTTCTGTGAATCCAGGGTGACCAGATATCATGTGTGTGGACACAGTAGGGAGCTGACACATTTTGTTTCATTTTTACATTCACTGTCTCCCAGAATTTCCCCCATCTCTTGATTTTGCCATCCTGGTTTTGGGCTGGAAGAGAAAAAGGCACAGTTAGGCAGAAGAGAAGAACAGTATTGAGTATACGTTCACTCTGTAGTCACACTTCATGTTGCGTGTTATCAGTCTCGTAAAGCTGAGCATCTCTTCCTGAGGCTCCTGTGATTGTTCATGGCCCCCAAGTGGCAGTCAGTTACATAGACCAGCCTCCCAGTTCCATGTGTTTATGTAAAGGGCACTGATGTGTTTCTGTGTCCTGCAGAGAAATCTCCTTGTTTAAAGTTGCATTCCCTTTGTGTCCTTTTCTCTCTGCTGTCTGAGTGTCAAATGGAAGGCAGCTCATTAGAGGAGCAGAAGAGGAGACTCACATG